CTCACACCCAGCGGCCCGGGAACACCAGGGACCAGGAGCATCTGCGGGGGGCGTCGGGGGGACAGGGACAGTGAGGCTCAGCGGCTCTCCCTGTGGCTGCGGCATCGGGGTCCTGCGGAGGAGATGGGAGGCGCCCCCAGGTGCCATCACCTGTTGGTCCAGCTTGGGCTGCTCTCCTCTCCTCTCTGTGGCCTCCTGCCCGTGTCCCCGGCCCCAGGGACTACACAGAGGTGCCTGATAAGGGCCCGTTTCCTCACTTCCAGCCGCTCCTGGTGAAGGGAGGAATCTGGCTTCCTTCCAGCCATCTGTGCCCTCAGGGAACAGCAGGCTGGCTCAGGCGGGCATTCTTGCCCCATGTGTGCCCGGGCCCTGGCTGGCAACAAGCCCTCTCGCCAGCAAACGTCCCCAGGTCCCAGGGTAGCCCTGGCAAGGCTCCCCCAGCGCACGCCGGGGCCTCGCCGCCATTTGTCCCCTTCATTTGGCAAAATGAGGATGTGCCTGGGAGGCTAAGTCCCCTAAACCCCCCCGTGCGAGGGAGGGGTGACCTGGTGACCACTTCCATGGCCACCCCGGGGAAGGGCCGCCTGTGCTGCCCGGGTCTGCCCCCAGCTGGCCCAGAAGGCCCTGCACTGCACAGGCTCCGCGTCCCAGCTGCGCGGTCCCAGTGAGGTCCCTGCACACATCCTACACCTAACGGGACAAGACTTCGGGGGAGGCTGGGTGGGCACGTCTTATACACGGTGGTGCTCTGGGTGGTGGTCAGTGTCACATCACAGACGCCTTGGGCGCAGCCCAGGGATAGGCCTTAACCCAAGAGGAACCGCCGACGGCCTGGACGTGAGCCAGGAGAAAGGATGGCAGACAGGAGGCACGTGTCGGGAGGCGCTGCATCTGCTGGAGGGCTGGGCAGAGGTCCCTCCCGCCCCCTCTCCACCCCCAGCCCTCAGCTGCCTCCCGCAGGGAGTGCCACCCCACAGGCTCCTCTGGCCACAGCCTAGAGCAGGCAGCGCGGGGAGAAGCAGCCGCTCCGTGAAGGCCCACTGTGTGCTCTGCCTACACTTGGTCCTTTCTCACCGGGGAGCCTGCTGAATCTCATTGGCCGCACTTCTGGCCCGACACCCATGGGTGCCTACTGTACCCGACACATCACGTGACCCCCAGGGACTGGTTCCAGCTTGGGAGGGACAGGCCACTGCAGGACCCCATTCGGGCTCAGGGTAGAGGACACACCTCCCAGCAGCCAGGCCCCATGCTTGTCTGGTCCCAGGTTCTTCTGGTCTGTCTGTGGCCTGAGCCCCGGACCCATTCATCACGGTGTCTCTGGGGGCCTGCCCAGAGCCCCGGCCCAGGTTGGGGGGGTAGCGGGGGGAGTCCATTGGAACATACCCCATGGGGCTCGGGGACTTCTGGGGCCGGGACTTCCTTCTCCACATGAGGTGTCTGCGTGCAGCATGGCCTCCCCTTCCCCATCCCAGACCCCGTGTGGGAGGCGGTGGCCTGTCGGCCCCTCCACCCGGCTACTCCGGTGTCCAGCAAACCTCCCTGACCTCAGCACGCAGAGGCCACAGTGTGAGGGACGGGCTGCCAGACTCCAGCGCCAGCTCCCCACCAGCTACTTCCCTCCGCCAGGCCTCTGTTTTCTCATCTGTAAGCTGGGCATGACAGTCCCTACCTGGAAAAGCCTTGTGGGAAGTCAATGAGCTATGCAGGGACGTGCTTAGCGTGGAGCCGGACACAGTAAGCGCTCAATAGACGCTTGCCATGCAGACGGCTGCACCCAAGCCCCCCAGCTCGCTGCGCTGACTCTTAGGGGCTGACACTGAGCGTGGCGGTGTGGGTGACCCTCAGGCCTGCAGGCGGACACGCTGACTCCCTGACAGCACTTGGGACAGCCCAGCTTTGGGGGTGACGTGGCCACAGGCTGCCCCCAGCCCCACGGGGTGCCTGGCAGCCTGTCGGGGGCCCAGAGCAGGCAGAGTGTGGGTGCTCCCGTGGTCCAGAGGCTGCAGTCACCAGTAATCCTCGTCATCAGATGGGAAACTGGATCCAGCATGCAGCTGGTGGGCCAGCCCCCTTTCCCATCTGCACGGGGCTGCGCCGCGGGCCAATGGGAGGCCTTCCCTGAGGTGTCCACACAGCTCTGTCTGACCCTGGGGCCCTGGTGAGGGGGTGGGGAAGGAGCACAGGCTCCCACTGGCACAGCCCTTCACGTGCCAGGGATGCCCTGTCTGGTGTAAGGGTGCCTCGCTGCAGGGCACGGCTCTTTGTCTGCAGGCAGGGGAACGTGCCCTGTGGGTGGAGGGAGGAGTTATCGTCCTGGGAACAGGCACACTCCACCCTCTGAGCATCTCCAGTGATTTTGTGCCCTGACAATGTCATCATCCCCATTTTAAAGATGGTCAAACAGAGGCAGAGAAAGGTAAAACCATTTGCCCAAGTTATTATGTGCCCGAGCGAGGATCCAAACTCAGTTTGCCTGACATAAAAGTCCTGGCTTCTCAGACCTGGCCGGTGGCTCAGTTGGGTAGAGCCTCGTCCGGATACACCAAGGTTGCAGGTTCTACCTCCGGTCAGGGCGCATACAAGAAGCAACAGTGAATGCACAAATAAGTGGAACAACAAATCGACGGTTTTCTCTCTCTCCCTGCCTCTCTCTCTAAAATTAAAAAAACAAAACCTCCTGACCCCTCAAACCCCAAAATGCTCGAGAACAAGTCATTATTATTATTATTATTTATTCCTCAAGTTAAGATGGCTTTTCCGAGCCTCCTACTTCTGCCGGGTGGGCCCGCCTCTGCCCATACTGCAGAGGGGAACACTGAGGCTTGCAGCCCAGTGCAAAACAGGGAGGGAAGTGTGAGGGCCGGTTTGGGGCCCAGGACTCCTGCGCCAGCTATCTGATGGGAGATGAATGGCACGGGGTGAGGGTGGGGCGTGTGTACCAAGATCTCCGGATTCAGAGTGACAGGGGGCTGGCTCTGTGGGGAGAGGGAGTCCCCTTCCTCCAGGTGGTGACCCACAGATCGCACCCCTTCTTCACGAACAGGGGACACTTGGGGCCCCTCCATTGGGGTCCGCACCCAGGGCTGGGAAGTTTCTCCTGCATCACAGCCAACGCATCCCCACAGCGTTTCCGGAAGGTGCTCCCCGCCTGCGCCCCCATATCTAAGGGGAGGCTGCAGATGCGCAGGCCTGGGACCCACAGCCCAGAAGACTCCCTCCGAAGGGTCTGCGGGGCGGGCCCGGCGTGACGTCACGCCCCCCGGCCAATGAGGCCGCATGGCCCCCGGGCTGGATTGCGCAACAAAGAAGACCTCGAACTTGAAAGGATTCCCCAGGCTG